CAGTGTTTGATTCAGCTGCAGTGTCAGAATCATCCTCGTCATTTTCGGTGTTAGACTTAGTAGTAGATGCAGTGGTGGATGCAGCAGTAGATCCACTGGTGGATGCAGTAGTTGATGCAGCAGTTGATCCAGTAGTAGATGCACTGGTTGATCCAGCTGTAGATCCAGTAGAAGATGCATTGTTTAATTCAGATGCAGAATCATCGTCATCATTTTCGGTGGTAGTAGTAGATGCAGTGGAAGACTTAGTAGAAGATGCTTTAGTTGTTTTAGTGCGTGATTTAGTAGATTTACTAGAGGAAGCTGTAGTTGAGTGGGTAGTAGTAGTACCAGACGTCGTTGTGGCTGCAGTAGTATGTGGTTCAGTAGTTTCAGGTGCTTTAGTAGTTCTTGGTCTATGATGTCCGTGGTGAGGACCATGGTGAGGTCTGTGATGAGGACGATCATGAGGACCATGAGGACGATCATGAGGACGATCATGAGGACCGTGAGGATGATCTTTAGAATCGTCAGGACGATCGTTAGGTCTCTGAGAAGGTCGACTATTTTCCTCTGGTTTGGATGGTCTAGGTCTGAATGGTCTAAATCTGCCTGCTCCAAATCCAAAACTTCCAATTAATCCAAGTCCAACTTGTTGAGGTCTGCCTACATCAAATCCAAATTGTCTTGGTCTGCCTAGTCCAAATCCAAATTGTCCTGGTCTGCCTAGTCCAAATCCAATTTGTCCCTGTCTGCCTTGTCCAGGTCTATTTTGTCCAGGTCTTTCTTGTCCAGGTCTATCTTGTGCAGGTCTATCTTGTGCAGGTCTATCTTGTGCAGGTTTGTCTTGTGCAGGTCTATCTTGTTCAGGTCTGTCTTGTGCAGGTCTGTCTTGTGCAGGTCTATCTTGTTCAGGTCTGTCTTGTCTTGGTTTATCTGGTCTAGCTTCATCTGGTCTAGGTCTGCCGAATCCAAATCTTCCTATTTGTGAGTTTGGTCGAGCTCCTAAATTAAAGTGGAATCCTCCTCCTGCTCCTATTCCTGCTTGAAATCCAGCTCGATTCCGACCTTCTTGTGGAGCCTGCCGTCTAACTCGACCATCATCAGGACCAGCACCAAAGCCAAAGCCAACATTTTTACTTACGTCAAACTGAAATAATGTAATATGATATTACTTGCAAGTTAGAAAAATTTCTTTGTTAAAAGAGTAACTTGTTTTTATATATAGTTTATATTATCTTATAATATAAACTTACTCCGAAGGGAAATAAAGAGACGTTGAAGCTTTTCCCAATACCGAACCCACCACCAAATTGTGCCGAGGCACAAGCCGCAGTAGCAAGTAATACTATTACAGTAATCTGCATGATTGCTAGTCTAGTATTCTGATCCTGCAATGCTACATCGATCGAAGTTTATATACTTTTTTCACTAATGAAGTCATATTCTTTCGAGCAACAAGAAGATAAATTTTTACACGTAATCGATTACTGGACAATTGACTCTTCGAAAAGAATTGTTTTGTAATTATTACGAAATCATATTTGCAAGAAACTATTATTCATGTCATGTCTAAGACTGACAACGATATCGTGTTATGAAAAATGTTCCTTGATGCAATCGTAATGACGTATTAGTTAAACAGATACTGTATTTTTTCTATTATGAGAGGTTATATATAAAATGGAAGTATACAAATTTCTACAAATTAAAATATTTTTTAATAAAATATTTTATTTAGTAAAAATCACTTCACGCACATAATAATTATATTAAAATTAAGACATATGCATTCAAAAAAATAATGAAAGAAACAAAATTTTATTAAATATTACAGATAGGAATGCGGAAAAAACTATTATTTCTTGTAAGACAAATAAGTCGATGTTTACACTTAATGCGGATATTGTAATTATTTGTATAACATATGGTTCGATGTCATTACCATTTGTTGTCAATAGAGGATAATATATTGAATTGTATTCAAAGAAGTTGTATAAATATCTCGTATTCAGTCTGAATAGTCGCAAGTGGAAAAGAACACTAGAAACCATGAAGGTCTTAGCGCTCTTTTTAGTATTCACTGTTGCTTCAACAACAGCCTTCTCGGTAAGTATAAATTATTAAAAGAAAACTATTATTGAATGCTTTATTGATCCTCTCTAACAAGTCATTATAACCGTTTTATTTATTACATAATAGTTAGGCCAAGGATTTGGTCTAGGATCAGGCTCTGGTAATGGTAGACAAAGTGGACATGGTGGATTAGGTCTAGGACTTGGCGCAGGACTAGGTCTAGGATTAGGAGGTCTTCTTGGACATAAGCAAAGTCATCCAGCTCAACCAGCACAACAACCAGCTCAACAACCAGCTCAACAACCAGCTCAACAACCAGCTCAACAACCAGCTCAACAACCAGCTCAACAACCAGCTCAACAACCAGCTCAACAACCAGGAGTAGGTGCAGGAGCAGGTGCCGGAGCAGGAGCAGGTGTCGGAGTAGGAGCAAATGTTGGTTTAGGAGTTGGAGTAAAGGCCGGAGTAGGAGCAGGAGTAGGCGCAGGAGTAGGTGTAGGAGTAGCCGCAGGTGTAGGAGCTGGAAACAATGCAGTAGGAGCTCCCGGAGTAGGCTCTGGAGTAGGCGCAGGAGTAGGATCAGGAGTAGGCTCGGGAATAGTAACAAATTCAGAATCTAAGCCAGGACAAGGAGCCGGATTAGGCGCTGGAGTAGGTGCCGGATTAGGAGCAGGAATAGGAGCCGGATTAGGAGCAGTTGGAAAAGGAATAGGAGCAGTAGGTAGCGGAATAGGTAAAGGATTAGATTCAGGATTAGGAGCCATAGGTCAAGGTATTGGAGCAGTAGGTAAAGGAATAGGCAACGGAATAAGTTCAGGACTAGGAGCAATAGGTAAAGGTGTAGGAGCAATTGGTTCTGGAATCAGTGGATTAGGTAGTGGATCAAGTGCCCAGACAACTGCAAAACCAGCACCATCTGGTGGATCGAACTCCGGATTAGGAGTAGGAGTAGGAGTAGGAGTAGGCGTAGGAGTAAATGCAGGAGGTAGCAAACCCGGCTCTGCCGCCCCTAGTTCAGCACCATCAGCTACTGCTGCCCCAACTACCGCAAAACCATCTGGTGGATCAAACTCTGGATTAGGAGTAGGAGTAGGACTAGGAGTAGGAGTAGGAGTAAATGTAGGAGGAAGCAAACCCGGCTCTGCTGCCCCTAGTTCAGCCCCATCAGCTACTGCTGCCCCAACTACCGCAAAACCATCTGGTGGATCAAACTCTGGATTAGGAGTAGGAGTAGGACTAGGAGTAGGAGTAGGAGT